AACATCGTTAGCCACTATTCAAAAATAACTTTCAAAATACATCCCTTAACTTTTTCACGTGTTCCTCAATCAATTTGTTTTTCTTTCCATGTCTGCCATCTAATAATTTTTTATCATTTTATTTAAATTTATTGAATAGTTTTTTTAATAAATCTTCCTCTCACTCCCTCTCGAGGGCAATTGCCACTCTTCCTCTCACTCCCTCTCTAATTCTTTTTCCTTGCTGCTTCATTTAAAAATATACACACCCCTCCTTTTACAAAATTTGTTAGAGTATTTTAAAGATGTTAAGAGATGAGAGAGAATGAGAGGAAGAGTGGCATATGCCCACGAGAGGGAGTGAGAGGAAGAGTGGCATATGCCCTCGAGAGGGAGTGAAAGGAAGAGTGGCATATGCCCTCGAGAGGGAGTGAAAGGAAGAGTGGCATATGCCCTCGAGAGGAGTTGACTGTAAGATTAAGTAATTTTAATAAAATTTAAGTTGGGCAAATGCCCAGTTGATGTATTTATGCAATGAACCAACTTCTGGACCCGTAAAATATGAAGATAGTTAGGTGATCATAATGGTCAGCGCCGACATAACCTAAGCATCGGGTTTTCTATTTCTCCGTATTTTATAAAAAAAATCATAACTTTTTTTAAATAGTGATAAAAATTTTATTTTTTTGCAAAATATAAAATGTAATGTTCAAAGGATATACAAATTCTTCAAATAAAAGAACGTTTGATTGTGAACTACCATATAGTTTTCCTGTAGATTTATCTATTTCAGCTATCGAATTTAGATGTTTAGATGTTGTTTAGATGATTCGACTTGGTCGAATTCGGGTCCGGGGTTCGAAATAAACAAATTTCAGCTCATATTATGACTCAGCATACTCGTTCGATTACCTACTGGCAGACCTCAAAATTATCAAAACAGTACTTTTTTCCAAAATTTTTAGGGACCTTTAAAAGTAAGGATTCCCCTTCATTTTAATTGTTTACTTTTTGTGTGTAAAAATAAATTATTTTATTGGAATTTTCCATCTAATGAACCTTCTTATCAGTTCATGTTTGAATAAATTTTTCAAAAAAAGGCAAAAAAACTTATAAATTAAAAATTAAAGAAAAATTTCTCTCTTAAAAAACGTGTCATATGCTATTTAGTCAATACCTTCCCTCTATCTTTAACTCAATAATTATTTCTTAACTGCCCTTCCCTCCCCTCTCTCTTTAAAAAATTTTTTTATTAAAAAATCCCTCCCTTTCCCCTCATCCTCCCCCCCCCCCACATTTTCCTCATCACCCCTCAACTCATCACCCCTCAACTCATCACCCCTCAACTCATTATATCACCCCCAACTCACTCCTCAACTCAATTCTTCAGCCTTGGGGCTGAAGAATTGTAATAAGAAAAGATATCGTAAATACAATGTCTAAGATTGAGGGTATTTAGATTGATGGTATCCTATCTAAGATTGAGGGTATCTAGTATCTAGTGCCTACTTTAGAACAGGGCTGGACGCAATTGTCTAAAAATTTTCCGCAGCCGCGATCCGTAATTCGCAATTTTTAGTTTCAAATTTTTATTTTAAAATTTATTTTTTAATTTTTATTTTTTAAATTTTTATTTTTAAAGCAATTTTTATTTTTATTTTATTTAAAATCCGCAATCCGCAACATCCTCAATATGATGATATAAAGGGTAAACTTGGGATACAAGGGATTTTATGTATTAAGGATGGTCTTAAAGGACATTGATCTTGAGGGATATAGTGGCTTAGGCAGTTGATTAGGACACACTTAAATCCGTACCCTAGATCACTTTAAATCCATTAATCCTTCGATATTCTACTTTTTCGTTGATACACGTGATATCGCGTCCAACTATACCACTCTTAATCACTGTTTGGCATATGGATTAAGTGAGATATCAATGAAGCTGGAGGGATAACTAAGGATTTGTAAGGATATCATCGAATCTGGAAGATATAGCGAGCCGCAATACGCAATCCGCAAATGCGTCCAGTCCTGCTTTAGAAGTTTATCATTTTTTGGATTTTAAAGTTTTTAGAATGTTTGGAAGAAGAATTTTAATTCTTCTTCATTTCTCAGTTCTTCCGTTTTGCTTTACAAGTGAAGACAAACATTTAGTAAAGCATATTTTCTCTGGTATTTTGAAGAATTTTTAAATAATTTTTTTGAAAAAATATTCTCCAATCAGATTTCGCATTTTTGCCTTTGCCTTTCATAAAATTGTTTTAATTTCTGAGAACGTATAAATTTGTATGTTTCGAAGGTATAAAATCGTAAGTAAAATGAATTCTCGTACAAAAATGAAAAGGGTAAATTAATGAAATTTTCCCCATGACTTTCCTATAAATTTACCAAGATTTTAATTAATTTCAAATTTAGTCTAAAATAAAATTTATTAAAATATTTCTTTAACCAAAATTTAATATTTTCGTTATTTTAAAAAATAAATGAGAATTAAAACAAAAATATATTTATTTATTAAAATTTTCCTGATATTATTTCGGTTAATAAAAGGAACTGGAGATAATAACAATGAAAAAGAAATACCTAAAACAATACAAAATAATTTAATTTCTGAATCAATAGAAAATAAAAATTGGCCGAAATTTGAATTTGATAAAGGTAAGAATAGAATAAGATTTCATAATAGGGCTGAATTTTATTTAAACCCCCTGGGGTTGAAAAATTGCACGCAAAATTTGACATTCTTTAATTGGGAGCGTTTATGCATATGTACCAGGGATTCCCGAAAATCGTGAATTCCCGACGATTTTTGTCTCGTGAATACACGATTCATTAAAGAAAAAATTTTGATTTTTCAGAGGAAGGCCTTGAATATTGGCGTAAACAACATCTAAATTCGATATCTGAAATAGATAAATCTACAGGAAAGCCTTATGGTAGTTCACAATCACCCGTTCTTTTATTTGAAGAATTTGAATATCTTTTGGATGCAGAGGAGAGAATAAAAAATGACGTTTCCTTTCAAACATACAAAAATGCATTTCAAAGTTTACTAAGTAAAGTTACCGAATTGGTAACATTAAATTTGAGGAATATAAAGTTATCTAGTGATATTGAAAAAGAATTGAAGGATTGTGATAATAATTTTAAGAATTGTCAAAAAGGGGCCGGGAAAATTGAAAATAAAAGCGAAAAAACTGATACATCAGGTTGACATTTATTATAATCTAATGAGGTTTTGAACTGGTTTTCCCAATTGTTTGACAATCTTAAGCCTTTGATATAGTAAAGCAGCTGGGTTTGCTATTTCTCTCCTTTAGCTAGTGCAAAAGGTTATTCGTCAGCTGGGAGCGAACTTGCATCTTCGGTAGACCGGACTGATGTGTTAGCCATTACACCACGCCACCTACTGCACATCCTTAGGAATTAAACCAGGGCTCGGATCGACAAAATGCCAATAAAAAGTACAAAAATCTTGATTTTAAAGTACATAGGGGCAAAATTTCCACATTTAAAGTACACTCAAAATTAAATTAGAAAATATATATTCGTGCTCAAATCTTTTATATTTCTCTCTTAAATTAATCTTTTCTAATAATTTCTTGTTTCAACTTAGCATTTTGCGAATTTCAATGCACTTTTTTGTGGAGCCGAAGGCGCCAAAAAATCTATTTTTTTGCGCCGCGTGCGAAAATTTTGAGAAATTTGGAGGTCCTCAAGCCAGATTTCTTCCATTTTTTGCGCCGCAGGCGAAAATTTTGAGAATTTTGGAGGTCCTTAAGCCAGATTTCTTCCATTTTTTGCGCCGCAGGCGAAAATTTTGAGAATTTTGGAGGTCCTTAAGCCAGATTTCTTCCATTTTTTTCAAAATGTTGATTTTAAAGTACATACTTTCAATAAAGTACAAATTCAATTTCGTAAGTACGGAGGTCGATTTTAAAGTACTGTACTTTCAAATAAAGTACGAATCCGAGCCCTGAATTAAACAGCTATATGCTTTACAATATTTTAATTAGGTAATTATAAATTTTAATTTTTATCAATTTTAAAGAATGTTCCGTTTTCAAACAATCTAAAGAATATTGCGAATACTTGATAAATTCTATCATAATTTGCAAGCTTTTCATAATTGAGCTACATTCTAAAGGCTCAGAAGGATCTTTGATTGATATCTACTCTTTTATGGAAAAAGGACCTTCGTCTCGAAGACTTGTTAAAGAATTATTTCTGTTAGATAGACAAGCGCTTCTTTCGAATATTTCCGCTTTGGCCGCACTAAAACAAATTTTTGTCTTATCAAAATTTCAAAGCAAAGAAATGGATAAAATTATAATCGAGCAGATTTACAGTGATCATGTTTTTAATAAAAAATCGAGAAAAGTATACAAAAACGTAATTGTAGAAGGTAGTGGACCAATCGGATTATATGCTACATTCAAACTTTTCATTGGTAATTAATTATTAATTAAATAATATTTTCGTAATTAACGATTACTGTTTGCAAATTACAAAGTAATACCTGCTTTTATTACCAGAGGAAAACTAAGTAATCCTTAAAAATCTGACAATTCATTGTCCGTCATGAATGCAAAATAAAAAATCCTGTTTATTTATCAGGGAAAATGATATTGCCTGAAATTAAATAATACACATTATTGTGGACCCAATCCAGAATAAAAGTCCGATTTCCGGCCCGAAAATTTATACTGATCTCCAAATTCCGAGTTCCGATAGTTGAGCCAGTTCCGATTCGGACTTTTTTGATTTCCGGCAGCTTCGTCATCTCCTAATGACATCTGCTTACTACATAATTATAGATTAACCAAAAAATCTATGTTTTATGGTGAATCTATTTATTTATTCCTCCATACTTTTTAAATTTCTTTATGAAATGCTCCTAAAGCTAAAGAGGGTTTTCTGGTAAAATTTTCACCCCAACCATCACATAGATAAAAGAGAAAATGTTGGTGACTAGAGCCTAAATATTCATAATATTTACTCAACAATTTTTAGAAGGAATGAATGTAACTCTAATAGATGATAGTTCTGAGGAGTACACACGCAGTCATTTTATATTTGTTGATCGAAAATGGATGTCAGAATTACGATACATTCTGGGTACTGGATTTGAGCAACCTTTTGTTGAAGATAAATCATTATTAAGAGACGTTAATAATGATAATGGGGTTCTTATTAAAAGTAAAAAATTGGAAACTGTGTTAAAAGATAGGTTAAATAAATTAATTGAATATGTAAATAATCAAGAAAGAGAGATGAAACATGGAGGAGAAGCATTTTTGAGGATTCTAAATAAGTCAGAGATTTTTGACATTGATACGACAAAAGATAAGCCTTTGGCAATGATAAGAAAATACGGAAGTATAGATAAATTAGAAAATGAGGAAAAACAAAAAGCCTTCCATTTTAAAGGAAAATGGAGTTCTAAAAGCATAAAAGAACCAAGCAAGCATGCTAATAAAATGCTCAAGCATGAAGGGAAGGCTATTAAATTATTTGATATGAATAATGAAATAAAGGATTTTGAACATGAACCTGACGCAGTTGAGCAAATTTCCTTTGATTTATTTTTTTGTGCTGATAGTGTTAATGACAACATTCGAAATAAATTTTTAGGTAATTTTAAATAAGAAAATTTCCAATTTTTTGTTCAGTGTATAAATTTCCCTGCATAATATATACCTATGTGTCATAATCAAACTGTCATGTCCGAGATATTGCTAAGGATTAGGAACTATCACAGTTTTTATAAAGTGATATAAACTAGTGGGGACCCAAGAGGCATTTAATAATGAATTTATGTATGTATAATAATTTAGGAAGGGATGAACAAAGATTGTATAAAACTGATCTAAAAAACTTAAACAGTTCCCAAACAGTTCGGCAACCTAATTTTATATATCTCTACCTTATACCTCAAGAAATAATTAATACAAAATTTTAAAAATTTAATAATTAATTTTAAAAAATTTAGAAACGAAATCAACATCAGTTAACTATGGTTTTGCTATTTTAGACAAAAAAGTTCATAACTCTAAATTATTTAAGAACGGCTATTTTTTCTATAACGAAATACTTGATGATATCTATGATTATTTACATCAAGAGAATATAGATAAATTGGTAAAAGAATCAGTCTTTCTTTCTGAAGAACTTAGAAAACGATATCAAAATATTTTGTCTTTAATATACGTTGGAATGGCATCTGAGTATTTTGGCGAACCTTTGACAAGAACAGGCAAAATATATCAAACATTTAGTGATGGAAGTATTTGTTATTCAAATTATAAATCAAATACTTTGATACGAATATTTGAGACAAAATCAAAAATACAAATTGAATCAAGAACGCCAATGGCAATTGTAGAATTTATTGAAGAAGTTATAAGCGAGAGGAAAAAACGTGATGATGAATTTAAAGAGAAATTAAATTCTCCGATTGATAGAAAGGAATTAAAAAAGGTATTTATCTCGTGTCTATTTAAGGAGATTGTGAAACAAATAAGATAAATCGACCTCAAGTTAATTTTTGTTATACAGTTCATTAAAGGAATTTAATGAAAAACGAGCATTCTTTCCTATTTAGGTACTTTCAGAAAACTTTTGATGCATGACTAAGGCTATCAATTCTTCGGTTAACTGAAACAGAACCGACAAATCGAATCGAACCGAAAATCTTCGGTTTTTCGGTTGGGTTTGTTAGGATTGAAACCGGTGTTCGACTCCGGGCCGGGATCGGGTCTTCCGGACCCGGTAGCCCGGAAACCGTTGATAAAATCCGGGTTTTCGGGGGTTTTTGCCTGAAAACCCGGCCGGGTCGGATTAGAAGAAAAAATCCGGATACCGGGCCCGGCAAAATGAAAATGTCGAACTCTACCAGCAACCCTATGCATGACTATTAATCGTGTTTTACATCCTGCTACATTTTTAAACTTTTTTCTTCTGTTTATTAACGAACCCCATGCTAACAAACGAGATAAATACTTTTAAATAAGGTTGGGGAAGAACGTGAGAAAATATTAAAACAATTTAATGATTTAATTGTTGAATTACAAAAACGATGGTTTAAAGCTCTTTTTAATTTTTTATACAATGAGATATACAAGGATAACAATAAAGTGAAGGTGATAATTAAATCTAGTCATGAAAAAGAAGAAAAAGGAAAAGCAAGTACTAGCTATAAAATTGAAGAAACAAATGAAAATAATTTAGAACAAATTATTTATTTAAACCATTTCAGTACATTTTGGATAGAAACTAAAGAAACAGAAAATCCAGTAAAAGAAATTAAAACAAAAGATGGCTCGGCAATCATTGCAGATATAAGTGATCTAAATCCAAAAGCAAATTTTCTGGCCGCTATTAGTTTAAGCTCAGGCACGTTTTTTATTTTATCTTTTTATTTCAATTAACCTATTATAATTTTTGATTAATTTTTTTCGTGAATATGATTCATCACGTTCCTAGAATGGAGAAATCTTAGGTTTAGAATTTAGGAAATTTTAGGATTTTAGGGTTGAAATTTAGGTCCTTTGAAATCCTTAGGGGTGTAAAAAAGTTTGGTTTGCCCGGAACCAATTTGAAAACCTGAGCCGGAACCGGATTCAATTTGAGTTCCGGTTCCCAGAACCGGATCTAAAATAACACCGGAACTTCCGGTGAAACTCTAATACTTATACAAATAGAATTTTTAGCTAAACTTAGAGTTGAAAACGCCGTTTCTACGATTAAAGACTATAATGAAAATGTTGAGCAGATTAACTTATCAGAAACAATGAAGAAAAATTTACAAGAGTTGAGAAAGAAATTCTTCAAGGAAGCTTGGATGTATTCAAATTATTCGATTTTCTAAGGAATAATGTTTATAACTACTATGTAAACAAGAAATTTGATTCAGCAAAAAAAAATTTTTCATATTTATTTAGTCACCTGAAGATAAAGGTTTTGATATAATAACTAGGGCGCCAGGGATGTGCGCCAGAATCTTCGCTTGGCGCGCCAAACGCCAAACGCCAATTTTTCAAATTTTCAAATCACGCCAAACGCACGAACGCCAAAATCGGCAAAAAACGACGCCAAAACGCCAAACGCCAAAACACCAAAAATTTTATTCAACTAAGGCCCGAAAAACAAGTGTTTATTTCTTTTTAGCGCCGCAGGCGAAAATTTTTGAATTATCATGGCTTCCAGAAGCCAAAATTCATCCTTTTTTAGCGCCTACACCCAAAATTATGAAAATTTGTTAAGAACAAAAGCAGAAATCCTACTTTTTCTAAAAAATTGCAAGAAAAATGGGAAAATCACAACCCCAGAATTGTAGAATATCGAAGGGTTTAAATGTCCAGATATCCTCTTTAACTTCCCGAAGTAAGGGACTTAGAAAGGATTAAGGAGGACATTAGTGGACTTTGGTAGATTAATAGGATTTGATGGATATTGGAAGATTGAAGAAAAGTGCATTGAAGAAAAGTGAAAATTTTTGAGTTGGACATCTATCGGAGAGAACAGGGGAGACCTGGTCCGGCCAAAGTTCCTTGGTTTCAGTCCGGCTCCGTGTTTTCCATTCTCCGGAGCTAGCTACTGCAGCCATACACAGCAATGGTCCTAAACACCATGTTATTGACTTAAGACTTTGTATTGAGTATATGACTTAAGACTTTGTTTTGTTCCAAATCTTGTCACTGCGTATTTAACGTTTTCTGTCAAACAATGACCCAAAACTTTCTTGGTTCCAGATACGTATTCGAAGCACTATAATGGTATTTAGATCATAGCTTCCTTCTATTAGTGCCACAAACGAAAATTTCGTGATTTTTGGAAAGCTAATAAGTAGATTTCTTTCTTTTTTGTGCGCCGCAGGCGAAAATTTTGCAAATTTTGGAAGGCTGCAGGCAAAAAAATTTCATTTTTTTGAAAACACTTCCCCCATTTATTTGGAAAATTCCCATCATTAGGGGTGTATAATTTTGGCGTTTTGACGCGCCAAAAGATGAAAATCACGCCAAACGCCAGGACGCCAAAATCGGCCAAAAATCACGCCAAAACGCCAAAACGTCACGCCAAAACGCCATGACGCACATCCCTGTAGGGCGCGGGATTATATTGAAATAAAATCGCAAAATATGGCCATAAATTGTTGAAATAAAATGGCAAAATATTGACAAGAAATGCCAAAATAAATTCTTGATTTTAGTAAATTCTAAAGTAAATAAAATTCTAAAAATTTTAGAACTAGTAAATTCTTAATTAGGTATCTCGAACCTTAAACGAAGTCTAAAATGAATCTATCTGAGGAGTACTTGATGGAAGTTTTTGGGCTAGGTTTTTTGTTAAGAGACTTTTAGTTATATTATTTTATTATTCAAAATTTGGTAAAAAAATTTTAATTTTCAAAAAATTTAGGCATCGAAAAAAATAACTCCTCCCTCTAAAATAGCCTCCCTCTAGATGTCGGTCGAAAAAAATAACCTCCGGGGGCTATTATAGAGAAAATACGGTATTTCAATACAAATCCGATCACTACTTATAATTAATATCCCACATTAACAAAGTTAGAATGATTGTGTTGACTAAACTTGTTTATCCCTCTAGCATCAGCATACCTTAGTAACTATTTTTCATTATTCAGTAGTCTTGTGTTATTCTGTCGAATACTCAAAGTTTGTTAGAGGTTTTAAAAAATTATATTCTTGTGTTATTCTGTTAAATACTAGGTTATGCCGCTACCTTGAACATAACAAGTCACACATGTAACAGGCAGGAATTAGTTTGGCGAAAAGATTTGCACTCTCCTGAGATTTTCTATTAAACGTTATCCCACATTAAGCAAAGTAAGAATGACTGTGTTGACTAGACTTATCCCTCTAGCATCAATATACCTTAGTAACCGAATACTTAAAGTTTGTCAGATGTTTTAACAGTTTTTTCTGTGAAAATTTAAACAAAATTCTCATGATTTAGCTGTGTAAAACTCTAAAAGTTTGTCAACAATATTTTTGTATTTTAAAGTGAATATTTAAAACTTGATAAAAAATTTCAATTAATTTACTGGTGCGGCAAATTTTCCACCACTTTTGTTTTTGCCATAATTTTCTTAAAAGTTAATAAAAATTGATAATTCTTTTTTTATTTTATTGCCGACACTAGAAAATTGTTAGTATCAAAAAAATAGAAATTTGGTTTACAGTTAGTAAAGACAGCGTCGAACAGAGTTTTTCAAATTCAAAAATATTTTCGAGCCCCGATGGATTGTGACGATTTTTAAGGCTTATTCGATTGCTATTAATATAGCAAATTTCAATTTTCAGAAAAATTTAACTTTTGAGAATTACGATGACGAAAAAAAATTTTCGATTACGATGCAACTCTGATTCGTACGTATTTTGAAAGTCATTACAAATTAAATCGATCCACGTACTTAAAAATTGAAAAGTAAACGTACTCTCACACAATAAAGAAAAATTTAACTCAACATTAAAAGTCTCACGAAATGTTTTTCAAATATTAAACAAAATTTTCTCAAAAATATTTTTTTTTGTATTTAGAAATTGTTGACGTAAAACTTTTTAATAGAAAATATGTTTAAATTAACTTTATTTAAATATTTTTAAACTTTAAATTAAAAAATGTC